CAATACTCCCCAGACCCAGCTACCATGACCCACCACAGATACAGCACCGCTCTCTCTCTCTCTCTCTCTCTCTCTCTCTCTCTCCCCCTCTCTCTATCTCAACCCTCCCCTCCCTCTATACTCCCCATACCCAGCTACCATGAGCTACCACAGATACAGCACCGCCCAGCGTGTTGGGGTGGCCGGCGTCCTTGTGGGCTTCATGTTGTGTGTGGTAGCTGTCTGTACGCCTTACTGGAAACGTGGGGAAGTGAGTCTGTCTGTTTGTCTGTCTGTCAGTCTGTCTGTCTGTCTGTCTGTCTGTCTGTCTGTCTGTCTGTCTGTCTGTCTGTTATGCGGTTATGTCAGGCAGAAGATATTCGGACACGTCTACGGCGAGCACCCAGGAACTATTCGGAGACGCACCCCCGCACACAGATGCACTGCTTTGAGGGGTCAAACTGCGTATTGTTTGCTGATCATACATATAACCACGAAAACTGTCGCAAATCAATTATTTTCAAGAAAATTTCAAACCCAACAGCAAAATATCAAATTATGGGTTAAAACACGGGGACATGGCCCCCAGTAACCCCTCAGATTTTTAACTAGGTCTAGAGGCACAAAGCATTTTGATTGGTCTATCTCCCTCGGAGACGTCTCCGAATAGTTGTGTCATGTCATATCATGCCATATTATGTTTCTCCTTCTTCGGGTGTCTGCTCAAGGCCACACATGTAGGCTACTATGATGTGCGATCATGGTACTCCGCTCCTTTCTCTAAAATGATAATATTAGTGGTTAGTCACTGGTTAGGCTACAGGACTCGTAATCGTGAGATTGCGTGTTCGGGGGTTCGAGCCTCAGCTCGTTCCGACGTTGTGTCCACTTGGCTCGGTTCTATCGGAGACGGACGTCAAACTTGGAGGTCCCGCCCCCTGAATAACCTAATAGTGTTGATAGGGGCGTTAAACTCATACCATTTCACCATTTCCACCCCAGATGGGATAGATACCCGGCCATAGACAGCGTAAGACAGTCAGTGTGTTAGTGTTTTATAACCTATAAATGGCCTCTGTCACTGTGTGCTTCCCAGGAAGTTGAGGTTGTTTCACAATGCTCTCAGGTCTGCTGGGGTAATAGTACAGATTGTGAAGCGCATATAGTTTGCTGTTGAGATGGGATTTGCGCTACACAAATTTTGTTATCTATTATTACATATATTATTAAACTAGCCGGGTACCCGTTCGATGAACGGACTCGAAAGAATCGATCGGCAAGTCATTATGGATTAGCACGCACTGCTTGTGAACGGAAGCCTTACTTGTTTATAATGACATCTTCTTAGAAGACAGACTTTCCCAAGATTATATCTAAACGAAACTAATGAAAAGCTCAAAATTAAACTACAGTGGCTTCAGACTCCTTAAAATAACTGTGCACCCTTTAAACAATTCTGAACCACTTAATATTTTTCAAAGTCGAAATAAAGTTAAGTGATTCCAACGTTTTAGGGGACCAAAGTGACGAACTTTCACAAATATAATTAGCGGGGCCCCCTTTCGATGAAAGGAATAATCAGTGCATTAACATCAACAGAAAGTCATTGGCCTACTATATTTACACTCAACTGGAATTGAGCAATACATCTCATTTTGAGAGATGCAAAAAATTAGAAGTTCTAGATCTATACTCTCAAAACAAAATGCACCTCGCGAAATATTACTTCCAGCACTTCCGTTGTGAAGGACAGCTACGCAGATTTGTTTCGTTTCTCAGTGGAATAATCACAAAGGCCAAAGAAAGACGGGAACTTTTGGTCAAATACACTTTTCTAAATTCAGGAAATGGATATATTAAAAATCGGGCTCCGTCACGGGTACCTTCTATCCTTTTGCAGGTACTTGCCAACTTTCAACTCTGTAGTTGTCGTAGTTTTAAGGGGAAAAGTGACACATGTGTTTCCAAGTTGCCAAATATATAATAGATATAGATATATAGATAAATAAAGTGTGTGTGTTTCCCCCTACAGCTGGATCTGGCTTCGGCGACCGGCCTCTCTATACTGCGGAGATTCCCGATCTTTTCTGGAGTCAGGGTGGTGTCTCTTCGTGCGGGTGTCTTCTACTACTGTCTGCAGGAGGGCTCTGCCAAGGACGAATGTAAAAAACCTCCCATTGAACTGGCCAAAGGTTTGTATCATGTTTAATTTGTATGTTGTTCATGTACGTAAGTCCACAAAGAAAATAGGTATTTTTTATAGAAGCACTCCCGTTTGCGTCACATAAATTACCGGAAGTCAGCTCCTTCACCACTTTAGTGCCGTTGGATATACGAATAAGGTCAGTCTTTTTTAGTTAAGGTTTAGTTTTAGGATTTTATATATTTTTTTGGATAATGCATGCTTTTATAGTCATTAGGGGGGGTTTCAGGGGGTCTCCCCGTGACGTGCGAGTACGTTATAGCAGTGTAGTAGGTCGGGTAGGGGGGGCGGTTCA